TGTCTTCATGTGAAGAGACAGGCAATGAAACAGGCCAATAAGTTAAACATACGCAACCTTGCCAACATTTGTTGTTGCTAGTTTTTTTTAATATGTGCCATTCTCACTGGTGTGAGATGGTATCTCATTGTAGTTTTGATTTGCATTTCCCTGATGTTGAACATTTTTTCATATGCCTGTTGGCCATTTGCATTTCCTCTTTGGAGAAGTTTCTTTTTAGCTCTTCTGCCCATTTTTTGACTGGATTATTTTCTTAGTTTTTGTTGAGTCTCATCAGCTCTTTGCAGATTTTTGTGATCAGTCCTTTATCATTAGTGTTGTGTGCAAAAATTTTCTCCCAGTCGGTGGGGTTTTTCTTTGTTTTGGTTATTGTCTCTTTTGCTGTGCAGAAGCTCTTTAATTTGATCTAGTCCCAGCTGTTTATCTTTGCCTTCACTATCACTGCTTTGGGTGATGTGTCTGTAAAGATGTCTTTGATGTGCATGTCATGTAGTGTTTCGCCTATATTTTCTTCTATGTATTTTATGGTTTCAGGTCTTATGTCTACTTCTTTAATCCATTTTGAGTTGATTTTTGTGCATGGTGTGAGGTAGTGGTCAAGCTTCATTCTTTTGCATGTAGCGACCCAGTTTTCCCAGCACCATTTATTGAACAAACTTTCTTTGCTCCAGTGCATATTATTTGCCCCTTTGTCAAAGATTAATTGACCATAAATCTGTGGGTTTATTTCTGGATTTTCTATTTGATTCCATTGGTCTGTGTGTCTGTTCTTGTTCCAATACCATGCAGTTTTGATGATTATAACTTTGTAGTATAGTTTGAAGTCTGGGCGTGTGATGCCTCCATTCCCTTCTTTTTTTTTTTTCAGAAGAGCTTTGGCTATTTGGGGTTTTTGGTGATTCCATATGAATTTCAAATGTTGGCGCGGTTGTGGAGAAAAAGGAACTCTCCTGCACTGCTGGTGGGAGTGCAAACTGGTCCAACCACTATGGAGAGCTGTGTGGAGATTTCTTGAACTACTAAACATAAAGCTTCCATATGATCCAGCAATTCCACTCCTAGGTATTTACCCAAATGACACAGAAACAGTAATTCCAAAGGGCACCTGCACCCCTATGTTTATAGCAGCACTATTTACAATGGCTAAGCTATGGAAGCAACCCAAATGCCCAAAAATATTTGACTGGATCAAGAAGATGTGGTACATATACACAATGGAATATTACTCAGCAATCAAAAAAGATAAACACATGCAGTTTGCAGCAACATGGATGGAGCTAGAAGGGATCATGCTCAGCGAAATAAGTCAGAAAGAAAAAGAAAAATACCAGATGGTCTCACTCATATCAGGAATTTAGAAAACCTAAATAAGAGACCAGGAAAAAGACTAATCAAAACAAAGTAAAAATCAAAATCTGGGGCGGGGTGGGGGGTGCAGGAAGAAAGGACTGGAGTCTAAATAAGGGAGGGGTGCAATTGTATGGGGAATATAACCAAAATGAAAATGCATATATTGTGCAAAGATGAAAAAAGATGTAAGAATTATATAAAATAAAATATTTAAATAAAAAAGAGGTAAAAAATGAAAATATAAAACTTAATATTTCAAACCAAGTTAAAAAAAGTTAAACATATGGTAGTAAGTATATCAGAGAGAATTAAAATAAACTGCTGTAAAAGAAGGAATAGGTGGCTACTTTAGCTCAGGTCAGCAGGGAAGGACTTCTAAGGAAGTGATATTAATCTCAATGACAAGAAGGATAAATAGGTCCGGGGAGCTACTCGCCTTACAAACAAATTCAGCTTCCTCTGGTCTGTCCAGCTCTACCCAATCTCCGGTCCATGCTCCTACTCATTTACAACATGAATTTGTAATCCCAGAAGTGCGAACTGGAAAGGACTCTCAAATCTTCTTGCTCTCATGCCCTCACTTCAGATATGTGGAAAGAAAGATCCAGAAAAGAAAAGAGCAGGTCACACAGCTAGTTGCCTTGACTGAAAGCTGAGAGTCCTGTCTCTTAGCCCACGTTTCTTCCACAAATCTTCCCGGCTTGTCTCCTGAGTGGCTACCTCCTACCTGCACAATCTTCACCCTGCTTGGTTTCCACCCACAGACACTGACTCTTTCCCAAACAGCAGGGGACCTTCTGCAGAGCAAGTAGCAGCTCTGAGAACACAGAAGGGTCTGGAGAACACAGAAGAGGCACAGTCCCAACACCACATCCCAGACATGCCCAGGAGCTGGGCCTGGTTCCTGCTGTGCCCATCTTCCCAAATGGCACCTAAGAGGGGAACCCAAGTTGGGAGCTGCAAGGCTCTGTGACCTCAGGAGACACTCTCTTTGGTAATGATCCCTGATTTCACCAAGTCAATGTGAAAACATTCTGATCTATGATCCCAGCCTCTCCCAAACACCTTACAAAATGATTAACCACGAAACCTCTTCAAACAAGTTCCCTGAATATATTTAAAAGGATCTATGAAAACTAAACTACATTAGAGATTTCACCCCCTTCCTGCCCCCACCTCACACACACAAATAACTCCTGTATCAAGGACAACAGTATCCATTTGGATTCTTAATGATAGATTTGAGACTCTCATATTATGTAATGACTCCCATTCATTTGGTATTTCTTGAACTGCTCTATAAAACACACTCCTCCGGGTTGCCGGGAGGACATGATGATGTCAACATGCAGCTCTACCCGCTGGAAGCATGCACGCAGCTCAAAACTCAGGCAGCTATGATGGGGGCTGCTGCTGCAGCATGGGCAAGCCACAGGGGACAGGAGAGTGCGAGGTGCCATGTCAGTCAAATATCAGGGAAGGGGACAGGACCCTCTTAACTGTGTTCCAAGGAGGGCTGTGAGTGGATCATTGGCTAATTCATTGCAGGAACAGGAAACATCAAGGCATGTTGTACAGGAGCAATAGCTCAAGGACACACTCTCGGGACAGAGAGGAGCCCATGACAGCTTGACGGAGATATGGGAAGTGAAGAGAAGAGGAGACTGGTCCTGGACAGTAGGCCAGAGCCTTAAAAGCAAGAACAGACAAGCCTGGATCCAACCCAAAAAGCACAGAGGCCTTGAGCAGGTTTGGGCAGCAAAGAACACAATCTAGAAGCTCATCCCCACAGCCTGGCCCAGGGTGATCTGAAAGGATAAAGGTGATCATCACGGGCAGGGAGGTCCATTTGAAAAGTCAATCCATGCTTCCTAGGGCCAATCAGAAGGAAGAAAATTCAAGCACCAGAGTAAAGATAGAATGATAAGGAAGGAAGGAATCCAAACCTCTGGGGAAGGGTCTAGTCTGGGGAAGGGGTGTGTGGGTCTCCCAAGCCATGTCTTCCAGCTGAAGGGAGACAATTCATTGTGAGCGACCATCAGCAATGAGAAAGGTGAGCATGAAATGCCCCACACTTGAAACAGTCATCCTCAGACCACGTGAAGGCTGCCCAGCCGGACATCTCATCATCCATGCATGAAGCCGCTGTTATTAATAACTCCTCTTCTGGAGAGATCTGGAAGAGTGTGTTATACATGAGGGACCCTGAGTACTTCTTAAATTATTATGTCTCCACAGCAGCAGAAAAGCAGCTTGATTGGGGTGAAGAGCAGGAGCCCAGGGAAGAACCATTTCTGAACAAATGATAACTCCAGGGAGGGAGAGACTGTCATCAAGTACACCAGGCATCAATGAGCCAGTCGCAGGGCCCTGGGACAGATGCTGCGTGACAGACAGATGCCTTCCCACTGTGGTGGGAACTACAACCCTCACCACGCACGCCCAGGTTCATAGGGGGTTGGCACAGGATCACCCGCCCAGGCTGTCTGTGACAACGCTGCCCATTTCGAGAACTTTATCTCCATCTCCCTTCCTGGCTACACTTCTGAATAAACACAGCTTGGTCTCCACTTGACCTCTTGGAGCCTCGTTCTCAAAGTAAGCCCACTGGCCCACAAGGTCTCTTGAAACTGCCTTAAACCAGTATTTCCCTACATGCTTCACAGAATATGAATTTCATGAGCCAAGGAATCTGGTGAGAAAATAAATTGGGGAAATGCCAGAGTAAGAAAACTTAAAGATGTTTCTTTGCCATTAGACACCTCTGAACCTTCTAATGCTAGTATGTTCTGAGATTCTCCCAGAATGAGAAATAGTGGAGGGCATGTCTCAAGTTTATTTATTGGCAGAGTCATACATCAGAAAAGCCTTTCAAGGGGACAGGCACCCCACAGAACACACTTGAAGAAACACCAAGGATGACACGCCTCTCAGGAATTTTTGTATTTAACTGGGAAGCAGGAATAGTAATACGAGTTATTGACTATTGAACACTTACCAGTCCTTCCCACATATTAACATATTTCATCCTCATAACAATCCTGTGAGTCTGGTACTATTATAACTTCCCATTTTACAGACAAGGAAGTGGAAACACGAAACAGTTAAGATATGCGTCCACGCTCCTAAATTGACAAGTTAGTGAACAGGGGAGCTGGGAATTGAACCCAGTCACCCTAGAAATTAATCTCTAAAGGCAGCATTTCAAGACACTATGATCAGCTGGCAGTGGGAGATTTAGAGAAGGGTTTTTGCAAAGTAAGATTCCAGTCACAGTAAATGCAATTTCTTTGCCATAAGTGAGGTTTCGTAGACCTCCCCATTTTTTGTGGAAACACAACATCTAAATCACAAAACTGATTCAGTTTCTTCATCAAACTCTGCTCTATAGTACATGCACATGCTTCCATTCGAACATTCATGACTCAGCACCACAACCAGTAAAAAGTGTCAATTCGTGAAGAAAGTGATCTCTTTCACCAAAGCAGCAAGAAATGAAGATAAGAGTTTGAGAAATGTGTTCTCCAAGTATTGCTCTCTCCCTCTCCAGCTCAGAGAACAAAACAAAGGAAGTCTCTTCCTTTCACATGTAAAATTTTATATCCCAGCACCCTGGACTTTGCTTGAAAATCACCAAAGACATGACCTACCCTCTCCCACTTCCTCTCCTTGTTCAGAAGGATGATCACCAGTTTCGGGTGCATCTGGTAGCCATCTTCACTGAAGGACAGATTTCTCCCCTCAAAAGTGACATTGATCAGATATCTGTGAAGACAAAAATCAATGAAAGGTTAGGAGTGTGAAAAAGCAGGCCCAGAACAAGGAGAGAGAAAGGTGAATGGAGACAGACAAGTAGCTGGATCTACAAACCCCACTGAGAAACTTGGCACCCCTGGAGCTCCTATTTGCATAGACAACAGACAACCAAATAGCCACTTACTGGGAATAATGTGAAAGGATAACAGAAACTTAAATAAGTTCTGGGCTTGAGTTTTTAGGCTACAGCTATGACTTTGAATACATTCCTGGTATTGGGAACATCAGTTTGTATCTACCATAGGCAAAAAAAAAAAAAAAAAAAGTAATAAAGCAATCTACTTTATTAGCTTTGTAAGACTTAAATGAGATCCCTTACCATGGGATCTGGAACTCTCATTAAGTGGTAACAATTACTATTCAAAAACCAAAAAAAAAAGGAGCTGGGTTAAAAGGCAGAGGTAGTGGAGACAGACAGGACATTGGAGTGTATCCAGACACTGCTGAGAAGGCTGCATATGGGAACCCAGAATCTCTGCCCCCCCCCCCCACAGGGACCTGCATAAGTTTTCCAAATCTTGCTAAGATCCCAACATACTTCTAGAAGTTGCAAGATGATTTCAAGGATATGTTTTGATTTGAGTCTGTTCTTTTGTTTTGCTTCTCTACATGAATTACACATGAGTAATTCATCCATTATTTGTCTCTCTCTTTCTGAGTTTTTTCACTTAGTATAATCCTTCCAGTTCCATCCATGTTGTCACAAATGGCACGATTTTTCTTGTTTTGCGAGCTGATTAGTATTCCATTTGTGTATATACCACACATCTATCACTCATCTGTCAGTGGATGCTTAGGTTGCTTCCATTGCTTGGCACTTAGAAACTGTGCAATGGGGGCCTCCCTGGTGGTGCAGGCAGTTGAGCGCAGCACTGTGAAGCTGTCCGCAGCCTCTGCAGTGCCGGTTCGATCCCCGCTGGCCTTGGAGCAACCCACATGGTGAGCAGACCTCTCCTGTCTCACCCACTGCTCCCCTCAGCAGTGTATTTCATCAGTCCGCCTGTTCTGTTCCCCGCTGTCTCTGGTGAATCCTCTCACTCTCCCGTGCATCTGGCCTGTACCCCAGCTCTTGTATAAATAAAATAAATCTTAAAAAAAAAAAAAGAAATACTGTGCAATGAACACAGGGTGCATATATACCTTCACATCAATTTTTGTATCCTTCAGGGAGACACCGCTGAGAGAGATTGCTGGATCATATGACAGACATACTTATAATATTTTAAGAATTCTCCATCTGTTTTCCATAAGGGCTGGACCAATCTACATTCCCACCAACAGGGTATGAAAGCTCTTTTTTTCTCCATATCCTCAACAACACTTGTTGTTGGTGGTCTTTTTGATATGAGTCACACTCATGGGTCACTTTTTGAAATGGGTCATGCTCATAGGTCATTGGAAAAGTGTCTTTTCAGCCTATTTTTATGCTGAGGCTACCAGAAGGGGAGGGTGGAGAGCCCAGCAAACAATGGTGGAGGATTACTGGTGGTTTGGTGGTGGGTGTGGTGTGATAATATACATTTGCAGAGATGGGAACCTATATCCCTGAAAAACATACAGTGTTGTAAACCGACAATACCTCAAGAAACATAATCTAAAATCAGACAGACAGACAGATGACAGACAGAGATAACTTAGACAAGTGGGATAGGAGAAACAGTTGCAAGATGCTGCCAGCAGGCAGGCACCTGGCTCCATAAGGTGCATCTGGAGACCAGGGCTGCTGCACTGTGTACGGTAAACAGGAGAGACTGGGGTGGGGACTGGAGGGAGAGCCATGCACAGCGTGCTCCAGGTGCAGGCACACAAATTAGCAGAAACTCTGACAATAATTCGAGTGAGACCAATGAAATTGTCTTCCTCAACACCCGCACCTCACCTCATCCCCTGCTGGCTGCTCCGACCTGATGAGGAGTGCCCTCGGTGGGAAGTCCCATGGGTGTGCTCATTACAACCACATTAATGCAACTGGGCTTCGGGTAATTAATGTGCCTTTACTATAAGGGCCAGGGAGTCAATACTGATTTGCTCTTGCTCGCATGACATCCTACTCCAGAGCCTCGGGCCCAGTGCCTCTATAAGATGTTACTGCTGAGAAGCAAGAGGGGTATCTGGTCATTGCATGAGCGTTTCTCCAGGGCCTGGAAGCTGTGACCAAAAGTGGCTTCCTGATACAGTGAAGGGGAGGAGTAGACTACCTGAGGGCAGCTTAAAGTTGTCCCATGAAGTCTTCTCATTTGATGAAATCGCAAGACCCTTTTTGTTGACACTTCTAAGTAACATTAGGTTAAATAACAAAACTACTAGGTAAGTATCCTTCTGGCACTGAAAGATGACCAGACATGGTGAACCAAATCTGCCTGTACCACTTGCCATTGCCAGAGCTTCCAGGGATAGTTAAGTCTGCCATTCCCTGGTGCTGTCCAGCTTCACATATGCATTCCAGAACACGGGGGTCCTCAAAGGAATAGAGAGACCCGAAATCTCAGAATTGAAGGAGACTTTCATCATCAACCTGCCTAGCACTTCTGACTGTTTCTGCGTCCCCATTATGACATCCAAAAGTTGACCTTGTCAGTTCTTCTTGAATACGTTCACTGCTGGGGAGCCCATCATTGCCCCCCTACCCTCCTGGTAGGCATCTTACTGTTGGGTAGTTTGCTTTCACATCAAGCTGAAATCTGCTCACCTTATACAGTCTTAATCTAATTCCTCCTCCATATAAGAGTTCCTGAAGCATTTGAAGACATCATGAATCCCTTATAAAATTTTAATTTTTGAAAATCTTAAGCCTGTTTAGTTTTTTTAATTTTAACTTGTGAGATAAATAAATCCAAGCACAGAGAGGTCAGCTTATTTGCCCAATGTCCCACAACTAATTAAGAGCAGAAATAACATTTAGAATCACATTCTAGTTCCCCCCATACCACCCTGATTCTCACAGGCCACATCAGGTTTGACGTGCCCAGTTCTTTCATGTAGTTATCATGTGAATGGGTTCAAGACCCCTGACCGTCTGATCCCCTTGGCTACTCTCTCTAGATACTTCCAGTGGGGACAGTGTAGCATCTCTAATTCAAAGCAATGTTCCACATGGCATCTTCTCCATCCCCTGCACTGCTCTCAGCTCTCATCTCATCTCAGTGCTGCTTATTCAAGCCCATCACTAATTAGAAAATAAAGTTCAGGTCTCCTGCTGCCTACACAAACTTCAACACTCCAACCGAAGTTCTGTATCACTCATTCCAAGGGATATAATTACAAAATCACAAGATAAAATATTTTAAAGTAACAAACCAGAATTTAAGTATCCAACATAATTTACTTGGCAAATATGTTCTTACTACCACAATACTGCATGGCTTAGAATAACCTGGAAGGTTTCAGAGAAGATTGGGAAACAGAAAATTTTGGAAGAAAGAGAGGGAGAAGGAAGAGACAGACAGAGATGGGCGAGAGGAGGAGGGAGGGAGAGAGAGATCCATCACCGGCTAGCTTGCCTAAGAGGAAGATGGATGTGGGGAGCGAGAAAGAGGGAACACAGGAAAGAAAGAATGAAAGGAGAGAGGAAAATAAATTACCTGCCTTAAGTGCCCTCCATTTCACTAGACATGGCTCTGAATAATTTTGACTTTATCTAAAACACCATTAAGAATAATTAAAAGAAAGTGAGCATTTCAGAAGGCAATTATGAAAGAGAAGTTCCAAAAATAATTGAAGTAATAAGTAGCATGAAATGAATAAGAAGAGCCTCTCAAGATGGCTCCTTTGATGGGGACAGCACTGCACTGAGTGTATACACTGAGAAATTCAAACTTTGCTCTCTGTTCTAGGGCCTTCTGATGCCTCTTAAAATTTTTTCTCTTGGGGCCTCCCTGGTGGCTCAGCGGGTTGAACGCAGTGCTGTGAAGCTGTCCACTGCCTCTGCAGCATGAGTTCAATTCCCAGCTAGCCACGAAGATACCCACATGGCACATTAGACCTCTCCTGTCACGCCCGCTGCTCCCCTCAGCAGTGTATTTCATCAGTCTGCCTGTTCTGTTCCCCACTCTGTCTCTGGTGAATCCTCTCACCCTCTCGCGGCTCTGGCCTGTACCCCAGTTCTTGTATAAAAAATAAGTCTTAAAAATAATTTTTTTCTCTTTGTGGGATTTATTCCTCCTCTTCCAGCTCCACATGTCCTTTTCATTTTACCCAGCCACTTCTCACATATTTCATATTCACCAAGAATATTAATACAATTTCATGACAACATGAAAAATATTTTCCTCCAAAGTTTCCTTTAATCATTCCTATCCTTCAGCAGTGTTTGTCGTTCACATTGTGTTTTTCTGAGTAATCCCTGCTGAGGTGCCAACATTGAGCTGATAGTGAGGAGCTTGCAAATACACACTCATCTTGAGCAAGGGTGATGCTCTCTGGACAGGAGAGCAAACCAATCCATCCATCAGTAATGAAAAGTGTGAAAAAATAATTGAGAGTGTGGACTTCTACCCATGTGGACTTGGCACCTGAACCTCAGTTTTTCCTGTTTAAAATGGAAAAGCCATTTTACCTCCAGATTGACAGATGAGGCTGCTGTGAGGATCTTATGAGGCAATAGGGGAAAAAAACATGTAAATCATGACACAGAAATGGGTAGAGGGGGCCAGCTATATGCTAACTGATAGAAACTAGACTTTGGGTGGCACATGCTGAAGTAAAATTATGACGCTGTACACCTGAAACTCAATGTTGCAAAACCCGTGTTACTTCAATAAAAAATTTACCGCATAAAAAGATAAAAGGTTATAGAATATGAAATGAGTAGAAAATGAAGAGATTAGCATGACTGAAGTGTCTAAAAAAAGGAACTTGCCTCATTTTTGCATCTCAGTGAGTAAAAGTTTGGTAACTACATTTTAACAAGACCCCATTATCAATGGAATACAGTGGAGGGATGCAGACTG